AAAAGCACAGAAGCAGCTCTCCATTAGGTGTCAGTCACTGCTTGGCAGAATGTCCCTGTCACTTTGGAAAACAGGCCCTATTTTCCTTACATTTTGCTTTGATCCTTAACCTGTGGTTTTCTGTGCACTAAGCTGTGACCCAGGTACAGTAGAATTGTTGACTTCTCTTTCCCACCTTATCCTCAGTGTGGGTTTAGCCCTTTGGCTATTTACCTGTTTATTAAAGAAACTGGATCATGAGATGCAATCCGACATAAGCTTTATTCTTTGCCCCATGAGTCTAGGTTCTCCCTGTGGGGTCAATTTCTCTTGTCCCTTCCATGAAATCTCTGGCAAGTCTCATGCCTTTGCCAGTTAATCTTAAATAATAGTATTCTATGGACATTTCTTATCACAGTGGAGTCTTCCTTGAGTGCATGGCAATGCTAGTCCTCTGAAGAAGCATTCACTGTCCAGTGAGTCCCCTCCCCCAGCTGGGCTCACCATGGGTTGTTGTCTGAGGTGGGGGAGGGTCTGGTGGGCTTCAGCTCTCTTTTCTTGTCTACATAAAAGCAGTGACCTCTCCCCAACGCTGGGAGATGCTGCCTCTTCCAGGAAACCCACCTGTCATCTCTCCACCCTCCCCCTGCAGAGCAGTGCATCAGCCCAGGCTCACCTTTAGTTTCCTCAAAGAGGAATCAGACGTGCACCCCTGACATACACACCCAAGTTTCTGGAGACACATGTCACACCCATCAGGAGGTCCCAGAGGGGATAGGTGGGACTCAACACCCTATTAGCTCCCTGAAAAAGCCTGTCTTTACTTCTAGCCATTGATCACCACAATGGTAATTGTTTTTAATGAGAAAGGATCAAAGCAAATAATTGGTTTTCAGAAAACATGGGGAGCATCTACTATGTTGGAACCACACCAGAATAAGGCTGAGAGAGTCCCAGTTTGCTCTCTTGTCCCCGGAAAAAGGGGAAGAAATGCACTCAATTTGGAGGATCTATAGAAGGACACATTTGGGTCAGCCTCACTCTCAGGATCTTGAAGAAGGAAAGTCTTGGGACCAGGAAATAGGTTGCGGATTGGAGGCAGCCTAGCCCTGGAGGTGAGGTTCTTTTGTCATCTTTGCACATAGGACGACATTGATCCCTGCTCCTCTGGAGCCCCTGGTGACTCTCTCCCAGCTCCCACCCTCTTTTAGCTCCACCCACCTAGTGCTCAGCATCTGTCTCCAGCATGTCTTCTGAGTCTCCTCTTCAGCTGCAAATGGCATCTGCCTCTGACTTCTCCCTGCCTTTCACCTCCTGGTTTTGCTACAACCTGATAATTGTGTTATGACACGTGACAGTAAAATTCCTATGTGAGAGTAGCTGATTATCAGCTAATCTGCGTTATTCTTGTTTTATGTATGTTTATACTTGCCGTTGTCATGAGCCCCTGTTAAGTCTTTAGATTGGCTGGTCTTGTATCAGGCAACACCATTTTCTGATGAA